GTCTTTATTTTCTTATTCACGTACTTCTTTTCTGTCTTATTGTGTCATACTTATAAAATATCTCTTGAAACATCAGACTTTCTTTATTATTATTATTATTCTTTATGCTTGTCTTATCTTCTTTAATTATTTTTTTTTCTGGCAAATTGATATTTTGTTAACAGATTGAATGAAGAAAGAAAATTAAATAAATTATTCATTCAGCAGGAGTTACACAATCATTATTAAAACAGCTTCTTCGGAAACAAATAATAGTGTATTCTAAAAGTTGTAGGCATTCTATACCATATATCATGCAAAAACACCGGCACCATATTGGAGTAGTATTATCTATGATAATGTTCGCATTTTTCTCTTTTCACTTTCGCCTTTTTTTTCATTGTTCATGTTTTCAACCAACATATAGGTATAAATGAATTGCTTTTTTTTTCGAATGTAATTAATGGAGATTTTTTTTTCATTAACAGAGAATCAACTATAAAACATTTTTTACATCGAGTTGATCGAGCAATTATTTACATTTTCATCAGTGCTAGTTATACACCATGGTTAAAAATTGCTGCTAGATATCTATAGATTTTAATTCAAATTCAAATTCTTTTAGACTTCTTGTTCGTCGTACTCAAACAATTTCAACAGAATTGACTGTAGAATTGGTTTGGATAATAGCTATATTAGATATTACTTATGAGATTGTATACCGTGAAAGATATAAATGGCTGAAAACATGTTTTTATGTTATTGTGAGTGTTATACATGCAATTGTTATCGTTGATATGATCAGTCTATACCATTGATAACATATAGAAATGACTATTTTCTTCATTCATTCATGAATTTTAGTCCGAACATACTGGTATATTTGAATTGGCTATTGGTGATCTGGTTTTTATCGTGGATATTATTTTCTTTAAATGTGATGGTATCATCTCATTTGCTCATACAATTTGGCATTGTTTTATTTTTTTTTCGATACTGCCATTGATTACTATACTATTTACACTCATCTTCTCATACTATTATTGTCTTTTCAGATTGAATTTTCTTATAAAAGATAATTATTTTGAAACTAATTTACTCTAAATCTAATCTATTTTTATTTTTTAATATGGTATCTGATATTATTTGTTTATTATTTCATGGATATTTCTATGTAATTGTGCATTTACACAGACAAGAAAGTTTACCTATGATAGGTTTTTTTTTCAAATAAATCTCTTCATGATACTTGTTATATATTTTTTGCCTTGTGCTTTTCTCACTGAACATGTTAATATTTGTTCTTATTGTTTTAGTGTCGTTTGAAAGTCGAAAATACAATAAATTCATATGGTTGTTAATTTCAATGAATTTTATCAAGTATAACTTGACTTTATTTACTTTGGATAAATAACGAGATATGATTGATAATATTTTCCTTCAAAATATTTTCATTAATAAACATTGTTTGTTGAGAAACGTGAAAATGTAAAAAAAACTTGTCAGTACGGCTTCATATGAGATCAAAATGTGGAACTCACAAACTCTATGTATTATAAAACACATCTTCATGGAGAAAGAGATTGAAGTAATACAGCACTGTTTTCAATGCCAGATGTACCAGACAAAAAAAGTATGCAGAACGTCCTTATTACTGCCAATATGCATGTTGATATATCTCTCAGAACAGTTTTAAGAGCGATGTACAAATTCCAATTCTTATGGTGACATTCCGTTAGTATCTACTCCCCATATTGCTAGGGAAATCCATATACTAAAGCTCCCCTCCCGGAGTTAGGAGCTGTATTCGTTGATCTTTGACCCGAGTACTGGAACAATGTTCCTTTGACCCCAATTTCTGTAAAGACTTCCATATAAACATCCCCTCATTGCTATGAAAAACTAAATCATAAGGCTTGTTGACACCCCCTCCCGTGGTTGCTATGGAAGTGTACCCATTGATCTTTGACCTCGGTTGCTAAGTGTCTGTAATGGGGGCGTAGTGGAAGCCGAAAAACGTCGCCTTAAAACTTACACTCTCTGTTTTCCTTTGTCAAATATGTGAGTTCCACAAAACAAGTTGTTCTAAATTAGATATTCGATGTACAATTGTATGATTATTTCATCGTAAAACAAACACTATTTCACCATGTAATTGTCGCATTGAAGACGAAATGATTGAAAATAGTTCATTAAAAGATATTTATTGATAATAAATAAAAAATGTTGTATCAAAATTTAAAGATCATAAATTAATCAACTAATTATGGAAATGATTAAGTACAAATTTATTTTCATCAATTGTAAAACTTTCCTTTTTGTTAATAGTTCTCATCACACATTCTAAAACTTGATTTTTAATATACTAGTGAAAGAAACATTATCTTAATCTATATATATAATTAAATGTTTTTAATATTGATCAAATTATACCATATCGATTATTTCAATCATTTGTTGTTATCTTAATAACTTAGATTTTTCCGAAAAACTTATTTATCGTAAATAAATATACACGAGTTATTGAATTAATTTGCAATTAAAATTTCTAATCATCTAATGAGCTATATATAGGATTATATTTAAATAAATAATGTACTTTAATGTGTTAGTGCTTGATGCAAATTATAATAAAAATATGCGAGATGAGCACGACGAGTTTCACCTATAAATATAAATGTGACGTACTTGCAAACATTGATCAACTTGAGACTAACTAACCTGGAACCTACTGTTAATGATCGATTCATATATGCTCACCATTTTGAATGAGTAAAGAAACATTAGCGGTATAATTCGGGAAAATTGTCATATGTTAGTGATGATTGATTTCATTATATTTCGAGAGAAAACGATTTGCTCTCTGTGGAAATTTGTTTACCAGAGAGGAGCAACTTCGCGATCACGAGTATGTATCACTCCAACTCAAAATCCGATTCTATCAAGTCGAACTCGTTTGAATATAAATTTAAAAAGACAAAAGTCTGTTAATATAAATCTACAAATAATATCAATGAGAAATTATAATTCTATTGTATAATTGTTTCATCAACTTATAATATTAGTTCGACAAATGATAATTATATTCAATAAATGTTTATTTAGATAACATATCTTTTGACAATTGACTTTGGTAGGATCTCAAGAATAAATTATTCAGGATCATCCATTCGTAGATCTTTTAACTCCATCATGAATTCCGCACCTACATGTCTGTTTTTATTGTCGATTTTTTCTTCATTCTATTTCAGCAAATCATGAAATTAACAGAAATTAAATCGGTATTGAAAAAAAATAACATAAACGTCAACTTCATTTCATATCTACTGCAACTTCATCCATAAATTTGAAGATTTCACTTCAACTGTAATAAAAAAAAGTATCAACTCGGGAATTAAATTCCAGTTGGGATTGGAACTGCCCATTTCTATTGTTTATTCACTTCAAATGAATAATTTCAATAAAATAGATTTAAAAAGATCAAACAGAAGACGTTTTTTACTTATATATAGAAATGTATTATTTATTGATTATTTTGAAAACTTTGAACCTCAATCAATTTCTAAATTGTTTATCGCACAATCTATTTCTCAAAGGCGTTCGATTGGAAGATTGTCTACTAGTTAATAATTTGTAAGTATATTGCACTAACTTTGATATATAATGAATGTTCATTTGTCTATATTACTTGAGGAATGGAAATATATGAAAAATATATTGATTTACAAATCTTTTTTATTCTTAGTTTATATCCAGTCATTTTCAATTATTTTTTGTCTTACGTAAATTTTTCAATGATAACGTGAAATAATAATTTATTTTTCTTTCAATATCTGTTACTTTTCAATTTCGATTTTTCTCAAAAATATATACATCAGTAGATAAGTAAATATATTCATTTGTGACAATGTATGTTATCTCGTAACTATTATCAACTATTATTCTTTATAATTTTTATTTTTTTACACTCTTTCTAATATTAAAATTCAATGTAAATTAATCTGTTTTTGCTCATATTTTATTATAATAATAATCATCAGTATATTAGCGCACGAGGAAAAAAGTCCTTGAGATGTTCGGGAAATCTTGATTTCTTCAGAAAAAATACGACAACCATCTTCGCACAATTACTTCGTGTTGTAGTTCTTCTAAAGTTTCGTGTCACTTTTTTTACTAATCGGTAATCCATAGTAACACGAAGATTATTTGGTAAGCATGTTTTGGTGTCAAATAAAAATTGTTCGTAATAATCTTTCTGAGCTTCAGAAAGATTAAGTTCAATAAGATAAGGATATTCAATGATTGACAAATCTTGATTTTTATTTTTTGATTTTCCAAATAGTTTATTGTTTTGTCGCTTATTATTTATTAAAGTTAATTTTTCCATAAATGGAAATGATTGAGCAATTCGAAGAAAAAATTCATGTTCAAAAGGACGTTCATCAAATAATGATACTCTACGAACCGATTTAAACATTCCACCTGGAAAATTATTTGTTATATTATCATAATATTTCAATTTATATGGATGTGAATAAATATGACATTGACTATCTTTATTTTCTTGAAAATAATCAACAGAAGAAATAATTTGTTTATTTTTAAAATTTTTGAATGTTTCTTGAATATATTCATTAGATGGTAAATTAATTTGATTATAAAAGCTAGTGGATGAATGAATATTAAATGTAAATTTGTTTAATAATGGCATATGGTTAATAATATTTAATTTCAAATTATAACCATCAATAAATGTGTTGGTCGTCCAAACAAGGAGAGACAAATCAAGTTGTTCTAAATTCGACATTCGATGTAAAAGTGGTAAAATTAATTGATCATAACCATCTGTAATATAATCACAAGAAAGTGTAAACGATCTTAACTTAGGTAGTCTCTCCTAAAGATAATAATTTTTTTTTTGAATAAATTAAAAATTAACTAAAATAGTCTACCTTATTATTGAATATTAAACTTGAACGATCAATAATTTCAATCTTAACATGAAATATACGAAGCTGATTGAAACGTCCATCAAGCAAGTAAAGACAATCGTGAAATCTATTCAAACAAACGTATAACTGTAACAGAGTCGAAGAGATAACAGCTGGAGATGAGATATCAAAGGATAAATGTTGATAGCAAATTGCAGATGGACCAATATTTAATATTCGTAGATTAGTAAATGTAGTAAAGATATGCTCAAATAAAAGTGTATTTTCATTTCCTGTTAAACTTCGTTCTCCATTTGTATTAATATCGATAACAAGTAATGAAATTTGATTTTTGTAGGTAGAACTGAAAAGACGTTCATCTAACGAACAAAAAAATTAAAAATCATTGAAAATATTTTATTAAAGCTTATGTTGTTGTTTAAATCTAACAATGGAACCGTTTGTACTGGTACGCGAGCAGATTTATCATGTTCAGGTCAAATCATCACTATCACC